TTTGTTCTTTAGGAGCGGTGCCTGCAAGTGAATTGGAGACTTACCAGGCGGTTGGATCCTTCTTCTTGGTAAGGAACAATTGCTATATGATTGTGTTTGAATTCTCTTTCATAATGGTTTCTGTAATGATCCTTCTTCTGTTTGGTCAGGAGAAATCGCTGTTCTTCTTACTACTAATGTTCTTATAAATTGTCATTAATCTTTCGGATATTTTTGAATCGATCGTCGTGTAATCATCCAAACAAAACCCTTTATATATATATTTTTTTGGTTTGTATTACTCCAATGAAAGTCGTTTACAGAAGATAATGTACAGGCCTGACATCAAGGAGTTAACCATACATAACATAAACTCGCAAAGCGAGAACGAAACCCTTCAAAAGGGACAGTGTCTATGGCCAAAAGGGAATCAGCCGTGCATTCGTCTCCTTCCACGGCCTGGGCGATGGTAGCTCTTCATCGGGATCGATCATGCGTAGGATTACGGAGCCAATGGCTGCAGGCCGAGCCATGGTAGTCTAGGGCCGATTGGGCTAATGTACTCCTTCATCTTGATTATCTAAAAATTTACATATATATGTGGATATATACATGTGTATATGTATATATACTTATAATTGTGTGTGTGATAAGCATTGAGAAATAGAAATTTAGAAAATAATGAAATTTGATCCGAACCAAGTTAAAACCAATAAAAAAAATAGAATAGATATAGTTTTTAAAATTTTGAAAAACTCTAAACACCAAATTAATCAAATCCAAAAGTGACTAAAATCGGAATCATCTAACCATAACTAATACAAATATACAGAACCCATACAATTATGTGAAAATGAAATTACACAAAACCGGTTTACTATCGTATATTTAACTGTGTAAAGAGGTCGTCATTTCGGGTACAGTTCGATTACATCCGGTTTTGATTATAGAAAAACTGTAAATCCAAAAAATAAAACCAAAAACCCAAAATAAAAACCATCCCCACAAAGCCTATATATTTCGTTTTTTTTTTCTTGGAATAATTTTATTAGACTTTACTTTTCTGATATTTTTTAAATTTCTTCCTTTCAAAATAAATAAATAGAAAATCGAAAATTTTTTAGTGGAAGATGTTCAATAAAGAATTAGAGTTTATTTGAAACAATTAGATCGAGTTATTGTTTATTTTGAATAGTTGTGGAACTATTAAACTAAGAATCGTTATGTTAGAATGTCGTTGAAAAATTTAAGATAGTTGATATTTTTTGGAATTTCACTTCTTGATAATAGGTGAATATGTTTCTAAACAATCTATATAGGGGTATTCATAATCATTTAGATATAGATTGTACTTGATTATCTAATTTATATAATACTTTCAATTGATTCCGTTTTTGTAAAAAAGTCGGTATATCGTCTGTATTGAAATTTATTTATACTTTGATATTTTAGATTTCTACTGTCTATTAAAAGAATAAAGGTATACATTGTTGATTATAAATAGTACTTGAAATATAATATTTAATACAAAGATAATGGTTTATAAATAATATTTATACTTAATATATTTTTTATTCTATTTTTGAAAACAGATTGGAATAATGATTTGGCATGGGGGAAGTTGGTGCCTTGGTGGGCATATTCGCCAACTCATCCGACCGGTCTAGTGCTATTTCTCCAGGGGGCACAAATCCCGTCTTGATCGTCTCTTACCTTGCCACATAGTTCATAATGTATCCAATCGTGCCTTTTTATAATTGTGTGGTTAGTGCACATAGCTTGATTACATCAATGCACACTAATTCATATGTTGGGCATCATTGCGACCTCATCAAATTTTAGGACAGACTATTATATGAGATTTACATCGAGTAGATTATCACTCATACTATAGTTATATTTTTCTAACATATGAGCATATTTTATATGTTGTAAATTTTGAAAGATTTAACTCAAATCCAAAATAAGTAAAAAAACAAACCATGCCGACGATTTCAAATAAATTTGAGACGAAGAAGATGTTGATGTTGAAGTTTGTATCGAAATACTTGAAATATAAATCTGTATTTTTTTAAAAATATTTTCAAAAAAAATTGTGTATTTTTTGAGATTTTTCATATAATATACTATTAGATTTTGCTTTCAATGATTATTTGAAAGAGGTACAAGAGAGATTTTTTTATTGATCCGAGAAATGTTTACAACTATTGAGTAGGAAAATTGAGTGTGGGCTATGGGCCATCATCCAATTGGGCTTTGGGCCATTTGCAAATCCTCCAGGGTTCGGTTTAAATCCAATTGATTAGGGTTTCACTTTCGCGGTTGACAACTCGGAGCTTTTGTTTAATGATGGAAGTCGCAGATCAGAATCACTCTGCCTCAAGTTTTGTTCTCCACTTTTCTCTGTCGTCGTTTTCAGATCCAGCAGTTCTCTCTCTTACTGGGAGAGATTGAGATGCGGGTTTGGTCATAGTGTCGGTTCATCCAATCAGATGGTTCGGTGGTCTCGTACCGTTCCATTTTGACGATTGCAGTCAGTAATTTGTTAAATCAGATGCCTTGCGTTGTTGGTTTCAGTGAGTCACTGAGTGCAATCGTTCAAAACGAAACTGTACGGAACCGTGATAAACTGTTTCTGCGGCTAAGGTCAAGAAATGGTTTTGGGGAAAATCATGAAACTCGGTTACGATCCTGAAATTGTGAATGTAATCACATTCATCAGTGGATTCTGTGTCGAAAGGTAAGATAGAATTCATATGGCAATCGCTTTAGTTGATTGGATGCTATTGTTAAAGGCATTTGCAAAGTAGGGGACCTTTGATTTAGCTTTAAATTTGGAGGAAAGGCATGTTGTAATTTATAGTATGATTATCGATTTCCTTTGAAAAGGCTGATGCAGTTGATCTCTTCAGTAAGATGGATGAACGAGGAGCTGCGCCACCAGGTGTTTTTACCCGCACCACTTTGATAAACGGTTAGTGAGTAATTGATGCTTTCACTTATACTTTGTCGGTAGATGGACTTTGCATGCAGGATCAAATATTTGGTTCTACGGCTATCAAGGGATGCTCTCTAGAGGCACTCTGAACGATGTCTTACGTTGTTCCTCTTTTTCATGTTGTCGGAGATTGAGATGTGGGTTTGCTACCAAGAAAGGATCGGGGTTTCGTTCGTGGCTGCAGTTCTAATGCGTTAGGGTTAGTTTTAGAGATGTTCCTTGAGGATCCTTGTATTGTTTATCACTTTGAATGTCCCCTTGTATTGTTTTCTAATCATACCTAATTACACAAGATATTTGTGCCATCAAATCCAAATCCCAACGAAAGAAATTATTTGAGTTACAGAAGATATTTGAAAAATCTTGGAATTAGAATCCCCACTTGATAAATATTGGTTTTTATATGATCCACGGTCCAAACTCTGGGTCAGATATATTTACTAATTAAAGGGGAGATTTTAACATGTTTATAAAAAAAAAATTCCCTTTTGACTTTATAAGATCCGGTGAAAACATCGAAATAATTGATAAAAAAAATACGATAGGTGATAAAATAATATACCATTAGATATAGGTTTCGACTATTGACTTGTCGTTGGGCTTTTCCTTTTGGGGTTTGGGCCATTTGAGCTTAGGGTTGTTTTCCGCAGTTCACGACAAATCAGAATCGCAAATCTCCCAGAGTTCTGATTCTCAATCTGTCTTCGTGCTGAACTCAGATGTCGGCGATGCTTCGGAGAATGGCTCCTGCTTCTACTTCAGCTTTTGTTCACTCTCATCTCTCCTCTTGTCTCTGTCTTCGTCTTAGATTCAGCAGTTCTGTCTCTTATAGGGAGAGATTGAGGTCTGGGTTTGGTAATAGTAATGTGAAAGATGCTGTTGATGTATTCGACCAGATGGTTCGATCTCGTCCCCTCCCTTCCATTATTGAATTCAATAAATTACTAAGTGCAATTGCCAAGATGAAACGGTATGGTATCGTGATTTCTCTTTGCAAGAAGATGGAATTGCACGGGATTTCACATAGCAACTACAGTCTGAGTATTCTTATCAACTGTTTCTGCCGCTCACGTCAGGTGGGTTTGGGATTTTCTGTTTTGGGGAAGATCATGAAAATTGGTTATGAGCCAAACGTAATCACATTTAACACTCTCATCAATGGATTATGTATAGAGGGTAAGCTTTCCGCGGCATTAAGCTTGATCGAACGAATGGTAAAGGATGGATACACCCCTGATGTCGTGACATGTAACACCGTTGTCAACGGACTTTGTCTCCAAGGTAGAATCCACGAGGCTGTCACTTTAGTTGATCAGATGCCAAAGAAAGGCCATATACCCAATGTAATCACTTATGGTGCTATTGTGAATGGCATTTGCAAGTCAGGAGATTCCGCTCTAGCTTTAAATTTGCTCATCAAGATGGAGGAAAGGCATGTTGAGGTCAACGTCGTAGTTTATAATACGATTATAGATTGTCTTTGCAAAGATGGGCGTGTAGATGATGCGCTTAACCTTTTCAAAAAGATGGATGATCGAGGAGTTGAGCCAGATGTTGTTACCTACAACACTTTGATAAACGGTCTTTGTTGTTACGGTAGATGGTCTGATGTCGCACGATTATTGAATGATATGATCAAAAGGAATATCACTCCTGATGTTGTCACTTTCACCGGATTAATTGATAATTTTGTCAAAGAGGGGAAGTTTCTAGAAGCTAGAGAACTTTACGAGCAGATGGTCCAGAGAGGTTTGGTTCCGGATACTATCACTTAT